CCACACCCAGCCATATCCACACCCAGCCATACCCACACCCACACGCACCTACACCCCACACCCACACCCACACACACCCACACCACCCAGCCACACCCAGCCATACCAACGTCCACACCCACACCAACACCCACACACACCCACACCTACACCCATACACCCACACTCACACCACACACCGACACCCACACCCACACCCACACACCCACCCACCCACACCCTGATCGAAAAGCTGATTATGAAAGTCAAAGTTTCAACGAAGTAACTTAACAAGTTTTGGTTTTGTAAAAAAGATTGTCTACAGATTAAGCTCGATGTGCAGAACTTGAATTTTTTTTCTTCACGAACACGGCAAAACAATTTTAAAAGTGCATGTGACACAAACTATCACCTTTAGCAGAGACGCTTATATTGTCAGTTAAGGGAATGGAACATGCTGGAGTCAAAGTGAAGGTCTCACTATCAAACTTATAAATTTGAAACATTAGCTGCTGTTGCTGTGTACCGACCATGATATTATACAAGGTGGTGTAAAAGTCACTTTACCCAACAAACAAAAAATTGAATATCTCCATTAAGCTCGGCCAAACGGGCTTATCTTTTTATCAAGGATGGAGGCATATTCACGTTCCAAATCCATACGAACAAGGTTAGTGAAAACCTTTGTTAAGTATATTGTTTTCTTTTCTTATGTAAGAACAAGTAAAATTTTGTTGTTGAGGTCAATAGTGATATTTAACAAAGGTTTTTCACTAACCTTGTTCGTATGGATTTGGAACGTAAATATGCCTCCATCCTTGATAAAATAAATGCGGAAACTTCGGATTTAAATCCGAGAGTTATGTGTACTTCAAAAAGTGAATGAGACAGATGAGTCGTTCTAGAATATGGGGATATAAAAATTATTCTGGCAAACCTTATCTATAAACACTTGATTTCTATTGGCTACTGCTCAACCAATAGGATTTGGGGATGAATACAGCTCAGATTTGAACTCTTCACCTTGATTTACCCTAAGAAAGTCGTTTTTCCTATAAATTGATTTCTATTGGTTACTGTCCAACCAATGGGATTTCGAGGCGAATAGAGCACAGATTCGAGTTCTCCACCCCAGAAAACCTCGAAGTATCATCACTGTGATCGGAAGATAGAGCTCTATTTGTGGATCAATTAGATCGTGGACAAAAATATAACTTAGTTCTCTTTAATTATCTTTGTGATAGATGAGCCAACCTTCTTGTTTCTTTATGTTTTATATACCATTTTGTAGCTCGTGAAATTCTCTATCGAATGGTATATAATAGTTGGGGTTTTAGTTGACTATGATAGGAAAAGTCTTTTACGAAAGTGGAGATGGGTCGATCGTTCCATAGGGAAGGTGCAGGGAAAAATGAGTATTTTTGCAATAACTCAGGAAGGACTAGGCCAATCCTTCTCATGTTCGAACTCGATCGAGATATTGTTAAGACTGAACTGTGTAGAAAATTTCATCGTGATCGGACTCTCCTTTCGAAAGTTATCGAATAAACGGACGGACGGCCGGACACACTGACCGATTTTAGTAGTGTACTCACTTTTTGAGTACACAAAAAGAGATTGTAAAAAGTGTTAAACGGGAAATTCATGTTAGCATCAGTTCCATATATAAGGAAAATAGATCTGAAATTCTCACCTTGGTATATTTTTTTAACCTTTTTCAAAAATATGAAGTCAATCTTTTTATGATATTATTCGAAAAGCTTTCTTTAACCATCAAGAAAACAGAATAAGAGATCTTACTGAAGTTTTCAGTTTTGAGCATCTTATGAACACTGTAGACAGCTGAAAACTTAAACATTCTGGTCGGTATACACTGAAAAGGTCTATACTTTAAATAGTCTAATTTAACGATAAGAACTTTGAATTTTATCCAAATGTGCTTAACCACCCTACTTGTCAAATCACCTACAAAAGGTGATTAATACGAAAAGCAAATGATGAAGAACTCGTTGGCAGAAATTATATTATCTATGATAGTACCAATTTACATAAAAGCAGATTTTTGACAAAGAGAATGGCTAAAAGTCATCTGAACTTTCTTTTCATTCTTACGATCTAAATTTCGAATATTTCTTCTATGGTTGAGACCTGTATCGAAGCTTCAAAAGTATAAATAAATAACTCTTCCCTTAGAATGAGGACCGTAAAATGTAACACACTGTTATCAACAGCCGAACTACGTATCTTTCATTTATTGAACGGTAGTCCAAATAGTATGAATCTAATAATGAGATGTTGTTTAGACTCCGAAAATTTGGGCTTTAGATTTCAATTCACTACTGAGCACTAAGTCTAGTTGGCTATAGTCTTGCCAGATATATGTTTAACATTATCAGAGTCCTGCAAGATGAGGAGTAGAAGAGGCATCAATTGACATACATTATTTTTTATATAGATTAAAAACACCTCAAAAGTTTTATATTTCATAAAAAAAAAGAGCTCAAAGAAATATTTTTGAAGTACTAAATCGATAAAATGTCCATCTTCATCAACATGTGTATCGTCTCATGCTGATTACAATTAGATTTGGTTTTAGAAATGATTAGTAAAAAATTTGGACTTACTCTGAACCGTCATATATACTCTGGTTCAGAAATACTCTCAATAGAATATGGACTTTGCAGAATTTACAGCGCAGTTTTCATTTTAATGACGGAGTCATACTCAAGCTTTAATCTCACTATCAAGCAATATTCATAGCTCTCGATAACAGCGAGCATTGGTGAAAAGGAACTATCATTGCTAGACTTATAATGAGATGGAAACATAAGGTTAGATTCAATCCTAATACTATGAAATGACTAAAATTACCATATTACTATATGATTATTTTGTACAGAATAATCAATGAATTCAAAATTTTGAAGTTTTAACGAAATGTATTATACTTAAAGATGCTAAGAAGAGCAATATTACTACCCATTTGCTTGCATGAGAGCGAAATTAAAGCCTTTTACTACCCACATTCTTTCAGAAAGTTCACTAGAGAACCAAGCTCACATTGGAGCTATTCAGCATCTGGTATGTCTTTACAAGTTGTGTGGAATACTAGTCATAACTATCTGAATGATTATTCCTCTTTATTATCTATGTCGGTTGATTAGGAATAAAGAACTTTGTTCAAGTTTCATGCCCTCCTGTTGTGTATGAAAAATTCCTGTAGAAATGAACATGTTACGTCTTTGAATAGAATTTTAGTAAGGTACACGAAGTTATATTCCAAATAAAGGAAATATTTGTGTCAGGATTTGATGAATAAGTTTTTGTTACATAATAACATTAGTTTTTATATCAAAGGAAGATACAGAAA